ATCAGCAATTGCAACCCCTGAAGTATTAATGGATGCAGACGATAATCATCAATAGTCACTAACACCACAAAAAAGAATAACAGACATTATGTGCCTTCAGGAAGTATCTAAAACTACCCAGGAAGCATTTTTGTCCAAAACACCAAAGCTGAATCTGGTCAACTCTTAAAATCTAACTACTAATTCACAGAAATTATAGGAGGAACATACTAAACACCACCACTGAAATATAATTAGGAAGAAAAAGTCCAGAGTACAAATACTAAAGGACAAACAACCTTATTTCTTCAAATAATCTAATATGAAAAAGAGGGAATAAGAAACTTAGATTCAAGGACGCTTAAGAGTGTATTAATATATAAACCACAGTTGGATCCTGATTCAATGAAACTAAAGAAAAAGGGAACAGTTGGGGAGAGTTACACATCAATTGCTTATTTAATGATATTAAGAAATGAACAGTTTTAGCTATGATAATAGAATAGCGATTATGTTTTTAAGGAATTCTTTTTTTTTAATTAAGTTTTTTTATTTTGAGATAACGACAGTTACAGGTACTTGTCAGAAGTGATACAAAGAGATCCTTCATACCTTTCAACCAGTCTCCCCAACTCAACATCTTGCAAAACCATAGTACAATGTCACAACCAACATACTGACATAGATACAATCAGATACAAAACATTTGCCTTTATAACCACATTTCTTCTCTCCCTCCCATAGTCCCCTCTTAAGCCCCCAACAACCACAACTCCTTTCTCCAATCTTTAATTTTGTAATTTCAAAAACATTAGATAAATGGAATCATGCCCTGTGCAACCCTTTGGGATTGGTTTTTTAACTTATATTATTTTTTATTGCAGTAATGTTGATTTACAACACTGTATATGATTTAGAGGATTAGGGGCTCATACCTTCTCAGATACATTTCCACATAGTTTCTACATTTAGAATAATTCTCTGCAGATTCATATGGGTTAGTTAGCATATCAAATTGGCTCCCTCTTATTGCTGAATAGTATTCTGTGACAAGGATATACCATCATTAGTTTAGCCACCTATCCTCTGAAGGACATTTGATTTGCTACCATTTGGCTTATTATGAATAAAATTCCTATAAACATTCATGTAGAGCCCTTACCTTTTAAAGATACATACACAAATATGAATGATAATGATGTCCAGGATTTGCTTTCCCCAAATTCCAGACTGGGTGACTTGCCAAGATACAAAATTGGCCATGAGTTTATAAGTGAATTATATACTTTTGTGAATGTTTATAATTTTCCATAATAAAATGATTTTTAAAGAAAGAAGAAAATTACTTATCTAACCACTACACACACACATACATAAACACATACACCTTCAGATGTAATTTTTTATCATATGACTTTAAACTGTGCCACGATCACAGCAGTCTACCCGAAACATAGAGCTGATGTCTTCTACTGATCATTATTATAACATTCACTCTGCCAATTTAGGCGGATCTAACCTAGGCATCTGTTAACTTTCTTTCCGGAGTTCTTTATTAGGCTGCAGGGTTGAGATAATAGGCAGTCCATAATGTACAGAAGCAGGTAAGTAATCACCATAATCAAATGTATGAGATTCATGAGTGGCTTGTCTTCAAAAGAGAAGGTTCATGTCTGACATGAACAGGTCCTTATCATCAAGACAAATGCTGAGAGAACAGAAGTGTGATTACTAAAGATGAAGAGCAACAAACTGTATGAGCACAATCAAGCCTGAAAATGAAGTGAAACGCATTTTATATTATGTGAAGGCTGCTTTTGTTTTTAAGCCACTCTGGAGGACAGGATATTATTATCATGTTCAGTCTGCAAGCTAATGGTTCTTTAGTATAATTTGCAAAACTTATCTGCTATTTGGTGCCACCAATATTCTATCCGCTCATTCTCCTCTCGTGCTATATCATATCTTCCCCTCCCCTCACTGAGAACACCTTATTTTTCACCATATGGGAAGAAAAAAGATCTCAAAGATCTCAAGCAAAGAGAGCACATAATGCCAACCTATTAATTAAACTGAGATTAAAAACCAAGACCTTCAAAGGAAATATTCCTTATGACTTTCAATTGCTAAGTACAGCAATGGCAACAAATGAGTTTTTCTTGGTAGGCGTTTAATGCCTGGACATGCACCAGAGTGATTCTAAAGTTAAAAAAAGTTTGTTGTCAAAGGTGGGATAACTGTGCATAGATCAATCTCAATAAGAAAAGTTCCAAAGCAATATCTAAATATTACTGTTGTATTGTAATCTGATTATATTAAATGTCTTCCCTATTAAGTGGACTCCACACTTGGTTGTTACAAGTAGTAATAAGTGGTATGCTTACTGTGTTAGGATTTGATCTTTACTACTATATTATGATAGGTAGAAAAAAGATGCTCCATTAATAGCTGTTATGTGATACTTAAATGCTTATAAATTGAAAGACTGGTCAATTCCATTAAAAACGATCAATGTACAGATTGGTTCATTTTGGTTGGTTTTGCAACACAGGAGCTCTATCAATGGAAAGAAGTCGATATGCAATATTATACTATGAAACCAAGAAAACACAACTGAGTTCAAAAATCATATGCATATGTGACAAGCAGAACAGAGATGTGTGGAAATTAAACCCAAAATAACATAAGACCACCAGGATTTGAGCTAGAGGCTTGTACTGAGGAGATTAATAAGGCTGCTAGTAGCAGAAAAGGAAAGAATAAGAATTGGGCTCAGGGACTTAATGCAAAACATACTTGAGAAGGAGCAGAGGAAGGGCACTACAGTTACGCATGTCTATGCTTTTAGAAGCTATCTTCCTGCTTCCTTGCCATCTTCCTCAACTCTTACAACCAAACATTTTCTGGATCCTGTAGTTTCTGAAACCACAGTATACATTTTTGGACAGTCTGTGGTCACTGACATAACACTGGAAGTTAAAACTCTTATTAGCACTCACCCTGACATACTTAAAGGTTATTCTAATTTAAAATACTTTGCATAAAATAAATGCTCTTGCCAAAAGCATCTATGACTGATTTGCTTATGTCTTATTACCCTTCTTCACAGCAAGTTCCCCAGTAAGTCTCTAGAACTGGGATTTCAGAGCGGCCTACTTTTATGACTGAGGTGGTTTCAGAGAAAAGAACATATAAAAGAACAAGTAAGAAATATGCAAACAGAACAAAGAAGGCAGGCATTAAACCAGGAAAGAATTTCAGGAAAAAAAAAAAACAGTACAAGATGGGCTTGGGGAAATGAATAGACATGTTTGGCAGTAGTTGAGACTGCATAGAGTGGAGGAGAAGAGAAGTTTGAAAGGGTAGGCTGGAGGCAGGGACAACAGTCACTGAAGTCCAGGCAAGGGGTTCACAACACCTGCCGCAGGCACTTGGACTGCTATTGTAGGTTTGACCATAGGTAAGATGAGTGCAGCGTGGTTAAAAAAAATGTGAGTAATGGGAGGAAAGACGCAGAAGATCAGAGGTAGAAGGCTCTACTAATTGTTACAAATGAGGTCAGAAGACTTGATCTAGGACAGTGAGAGTGGGAAAGAAAAGGAAAGGATTAAAGGAGGGACAGTGTGAAAGATACATATACTTAAACCTAATTTTGACCTCAATTAAAACCTAGAAAATGGTCATTTGCTGTCATCATTGAAGAACTACTTATGAGATGCTAAGGATTCTTCTGTTGATTAGAAGGTAAACTGTCATTATGATGATCGAACATATAAAAGGACATAAAAATTCTAAAGGTTGATAAAGTCAGTATTTAAAGGAGGCTTTGATTAAGCTTAACAGAAGCTGGGAAAAATAAAATTTCTGATACAAGTAAAAATTATTTTAAGGAGACCATGATTGGTTGCAAGGTGATGAGTAGTTTTAAATTTTTATAATAATTAACTGCTGATTTTAGCAAGGCAGCAGTGATGACTTATATGATTGACAGATATAATTTTTCTACTTTTGCAGTTTTATTTTCTCTACTTTTTTCAAACTTCTATTGCAAACCTATTAATAATCAAAAGTTAATTTCTTCCCAAATATACCTATGAGTAAAACTGATATTACAGGTAACACAAGTTAAATTATCTATTTCTTAGTGAATATGTTTCTACTTCTATGAAATAGTTTCCATTCTCATTCACTGAGAATAGAATTTATTTTTATTGAGCACCTACATTATGATCCATGCTGGTGCTGAGTGTACAGTGAAGACATGATCTGAACACCTAGGAGCACAACATATAGAGGAAAAACTAGCATATGATTAGAAATAAAACCATCCAGGGCGTCCCAAGTGGTGCAGAGGGTTGAGCACAGCGCTGTGAAGCTGTCCGCAGCCTCTGCAGCATGAGTTCAATCCCTGGTGAGGGAGATACCCACATGGCACAGCAGACCTCTCCTGCCTTGCCCACTGCTCGCCTCAGCAGTGTATTTCAGTCAGTCTGCCTTTTTTGTTCCCCGCTCTGTCTCTGGTGAATCCTTTCACCCTCCTACGCCACTGGCCTATACCCCAGCTCTTGTATTAAAAAAAAAAAAGAAATAAAACCATCCAAATATAGAATTACAAATTGTGATAAGCACTATGATGGAAATTAAAGGGTGCTATGAGAGCTGATAACAGATGCTAAACCAAGTCTGGGTCTGGGAAGGGGATCTATTTGTTTTTAATGAAGTATTATTATTTCATCTCGTGTTAATTTTTCACTCAGGTGTGGCCACCATAGCTCTCCCAGCACCGAAGCAACCATAGTCCTTCACCACAGCCCATTGTGCTCCCCCCAACCCTGTTTTTTCCACTCCTCCCTCCCCCTCCTCCCTGAGAAGGAGTCTTAAAGGAAACTATCTTGGAGTTGAAACCTGTTTGTATGGATGTAAAAGAGTGAAATAGGAAAAAGAGTAGGAAAGAGAGAACTAGAAGAAAAGATGAACAGAGGGAAATAATCACATATAATAAAAAGGAGAGACTCTCTAACCTGTTGGGTAATGGTGTCCCAAGGCCCCTGCAGCAGCCGTGTCTTATAGCACTCATGGACTCCTTCCCAGATGTCCTTCAGAGTTAAAGGTCTTCCATCTGAAAGTGTGGGGTAAGACTGTCAGTATTCTATGTGATAAAAAGATGCTTGATGTCTATCTAGAATGGCTAGAAAAATATGATTTTTTACAAAATCCTCATGGTTTACATATGAAAAAGTGTTCTCTCTCTCTCTCTATACACACACACACACACACACACACACACACACACACACACACACACACATATATACACACACATATTCATTACTATTTTCTACCTGAGGGAAATTTAAACATTCGAGTGTCTCTCCTTTATAACCATCTAGCAGTTAAATTATCTGCTCATTCATTGCCTCAAGAAATTTTACAAAATAAGAAAAATCCAAATGTGTGTTAGAGAGACTGACAGATACAAGCATAGACAAAGGTTCAGGGAGACACTTTCATATTCACAGGGTGCATTATAGGCACCTCTGAAGTCCTAATACTTCCTCTAATCCTCAAAATCATACACTTGTATCTGTCACTCTCTCATTGACTGAGTACCTGTAATGCTCAAATCACTCTGTTGGATACCAGGGAGAATAGACAGAGGGAAAAACATACAATTTCTTCAAATAAGGAGCCCACCATCTATCAGAGAAACAACAACAAGTATATCAACAGTATATGAACCACCAAAATGCTTTCCTTTGGTCGATGCCAAAGGAAAAAGGCAATTATGTGAAAGTCCAGAGGAGGAGACATTAATACCCACTGCTTATGGCAAGTGAAAAAGGGGATAGTTAGGGGGTGAAAGGACAGGAGAAGGATTTGGCATATAGAGATTAGCAAAAGATGTAGTGAACACTCATTCTTTTTTTTTGTTTAAACAACTCAATTATTCACCCTTATTCAGAATCACCAAAATAACCTATTTTACACAAAGACATGAAAATGTGGCACAAGAAAAGCAAAGTGAACAAACAGATATTTAAGTTCAGAAAAGAAAGGAGGAATAGGGCATTAACTACAGACTTTCAAACCACACTTTGCTGGAAAGGTGGTCTTACTGCTAGAATTTAGTGCTATGTGGCCCAGTTAGAGCTACCAAATCCTCAGTACCTATGGGTATGCTCTTTCCCTTAGGCAAGTGGACAATATCACCTGAAGAAGACTTGTCAGTATATTAAATCACTAAATCAAAAACAAAAACAAAAACAAAAAATGTTGATCATCAAATGCAACAACACTTGGGGGAATAATCTACACACACACACACACACACACACACACCCCAATTGAGTTACTGTACTCACTAAGATAGTATAAAGCAGACATGTGGTGCGGAAAGATCAGTAGATTTGGAGCCCAGGATAACCTTGAACTTACTCTCCACTTGACTACAAGATATTTTTCTTTTAACTTTATCTGTAAAATGCAGATAATAATCCTTTGCAAATCTTGTACTTCTGAAGTTTACATCAGTGAACACACCCAGGACCATGTCAGGCTTACAATAAGCTATCTCTTCCTGGCTCCCATTGTACATTCCAGTAATTCTCATATGTAAAGCTAAAAGATTCATTTCTTCATTGTTATTTCTTAGAATTTTCCCTTGTTTCTATAACATGCACATTGTGTTTGATATAATAATACACTAATACTGTAAGCAGGGCATTTCTCCTGTTTGACCTGAAAAGTTGAACTTTTCCTCAACCTTTATTTTCAATAAATAGCAATAGAATATTTTGATACATTTTCAATAAGTATCTTCATCTTGGCATTTATCTGGCGGCAGGAGACTATTATCTTGTGATAAATAGTTTTATTCCATTGACATTTTCATGTCTGTAAAATGAACAAGATTTATTCATCCAATTAACATTTGAATGTCATGTTTAGTTACAAGTTAAAAACAAGCTGCCTTCAGTATCTGTGTTATATTGTTTTCTGAACACATTTACAGAGTAGGGCCAAACTTTGCCCTTAAGATAAGCTCTACACATCTTCAAGATGCATGTACTCACACGCACATGCACACGTGACTGCATGTGTGTGTGTGAGTGTGTGTGTCTGTGTGTGCGTGGAGAAGGGAGTGGGAACTTAAGGACTTCAGCGTCAAACAGTAAATGAAATAGTCAAATTACAAAAAGATAATATGCTTTTAGAATAATTTTTAGATGTCCAAGTTAGAAGAAATCAAGTTATAGGATCATATAAAATGTTAAAGTGGGTATAATTACTAATTTCATAAATAAGGCAAAAATATATATCTACCAAAATTAGGCAGTCTGTTCACGTCAGCACAGAGGCTGGAATTCAGGTCTCAGGACTCTCACAATTCAGTGCTCCTCCTACTATTCCATGCTGCTTCCAAGGAGCAAGAGGTGGTGGGAGAAGGAGAGGTGATGTCTGTATTTGTACCAGGTCCTTGCAGCCCCAAGCCTCCCTCACACGTTGCAGACAGTTCCTAAATCTATTGAATAAATGTAAGATCTCCCTTCTTAACTTTATTTTCTCTAGGACAAAGAAAGTTTTTTCACCCAAAGAGAAGAATGGTGGATGTAATATCTGGTACGTAATGATTTTTAATCCGTAGAATACTTTCATCAACAATCTGAAGATGGAGTAAATGGTTTCGATATTACCACTCTCAAAAACCTGCATACTCTGCTGGAAATATCTATACAGATACAATAATCAGCAGCCTAGCAACAAAGTGGAGAGACCCAGGACAAATGGTATAGAATATTTTCACTATATTTGATGCTAGAGTTAAGAGTATATGCCATAAGTTTTCAGTCAACACCAAATTTAAAGAAAAAAATCAACATCTTAGAATACGGGAATTAAAAAATGAAGTGATCAGCTTAAAATAACAGACAATATAAGGAGTTAAAAATAACTCCAAAACATAAAAAAGATGCATGATATTCCTATACGTGCGTTTGTAAGAATGCTAACTAATTGCTTGCTACAAAGAGAACAGTGTGTTCCAAGTAAATGGATGTGACTGCTTTCTCTGATGCATTTAAGCAACTGTTCAAAAACACATATGGATGCTGGTTAAATGCGTGCTTGTATGCACGCTACTTTGATAATGGTGTCAATCTCACCAGTTCCAGATGACCATTTACACAACAGAAGATATGATTAATAGCTTTGTCTCTCACATATAGACATGAGAAGAATGATTTAATGATATATGATGTGAGATCTTCTGCCTATACCTTCATCCTTGGCTTGCTTATTCATAACTCACACCTTCATGAGTAAAGACATACCAAAGTTTGTTTTGAGATGTTCTACACAAAAACAAAGTATCAGCAATATTGTCAAAACTGTCCCATATACTGTCGTCATTTGAAAAAATATCTTTAAATGACTGTAATGCTTAGTATTTCAAAAACAAAAAGGAGTCTTCAGAAAATCCACTGAAATCATTGAACTTAGTCAAACATAGAACCACATCATAAAACAACTTAAATATGGAGGAAATTTAAAGAATTTTATAACTTTGTACATATTTATTTATGAAAATGAGGCTCAAACATTTAACTTAAAAGAAAAATGTGGGCAGAAACAAGTGGTGAAGAGACATTATTATGTGCCTTCATGTTCAGTTCATCTCTTCAATCAGAAAGTTTAAACCGTGTCAAGATGGTCTATTTTATTCTATTTGGCCTCAGTCAGAGGAGACATAAGCACACTCAATCAACAACTCCCTAGTTTCAGACCCAAGGTATTCGATAGCATCAATTTTCACATGCTTAGAAATCTCATTAATCACAATGAGGCGGGAAAGCTCAGAAAAATCCCTCACATACTTGAAATACAGAGGTAGAAACCATAATAATTTTAGCAGCAACCTGCAAAGTAAGCACAGTAAATCATGGTTATTTATTTAACAAGTGTTAGTATACTAAGTGCCTACTATGTGTCTCTATTACCTAGAATGATAATGCACAATTGAGCCAACGTAACATTCTGTCAGCAACCTAAATGTCAATGACAAAAGAGAAAGAGACATTGGATGAAAAATAGAATAATTAAAAAGTACAATCTTTAGCAACTGCCAGTAGCATTTAATTTAACATTTTCATATAAAATCTCTCAATTGAATAATAACCTACATGTCAAGTAATCCATATATTACTCAAAATGTGCAGCTTTCTAAATTAAATTTCTCAGGGCTATTAGTTTTCATGAATCAAATAACAGGAAGAGATATTTCACTAGCACTGCCTAACTAGTGCAAATTTGCCGAAGTCACCTTTATCCTATTGTGCATGGTTTCACTAAAACTTTGTAATTCCTAAAATGAAGATGAGAGAGTATAAATTATTTAGAATAAGTTTAAGAATAATGTTCTGAATGTGATCACTAGAAATGAAAAGGAAAGAGTGGGTTTTTCACAATGAAATATGTCATTATTCAATATACTGTCTTCAAGAGAGCTTTGAAAGATATAAAAATTCATGTCATACTCCACAGTAAGGCAGAGATGATGCTCCACCAAAGGGGAAAATTCATTTTTGCTTCAGTGAGAAAATTACATTGTGATATGAAATGAGTGTTAATTGTTCATGTACATTCATATCTACTAATATGCTGGCTGATTCTATAATATTTATTTATACCTATATACATTTTTAACATAGTATATACTAATCACAGGAAATCTGAACGAAGATTACAAACATAAAGATTACAGCAAATTCTTTTTACTTATATATATAACATCAATTAATTATTTGAATTCATGTTTCTTAAATTTTGATTATTGCATCATGCAGGGAAGAAAATGGGCTACACAGTTTGAATCTCAATAGCCTAGTTTTCATATACCCTTGAATAAACAAGCTAATTCCTCTGAGCATTTGATTTTCTGTTTGTGCATGAGGACACTATAATAACAGCTGCTATCTTACGTGTTATTGTGAGGATCAAGATACATAACAGCATTATTGAGAGGTATGATGTGATAAGTCCAATTTCACATATCACCTCACATACCTCAAAACTCTGCGAAGTAGGTATCACCATTCTATCAGTTTTTTCAGATGATGAAAG